AGCATCAAGGATCCTCTAGAGTGAAATTTTTCTAAAATTTCCTAGAGTGCTACATTGTGTGGTTGAGATTTATTGACAAGTCACATCAAAAAAAACATACAATATAGCACTCTAAGAAACTTTAAAAAAAAATTACTTTAGAGAACCCTTACCCGTCCAGAAGGGAATCCTCCTAACAAAAAAAATCAACATCGGTCAAGCAGAGAATCCAGTTGGAAGTCGTCCCTCGTCGTTTTGTGACCAGCCAGGTGTGTCCTTCATATTACACACTTCATCTGCCTGCCTTGGTTGACGAGAAACCTATGCACCCCCCACCACCACTCTCCTATCTCTCTCTTCTAAACTGAATTCATTAATGTGGTCCCACACCATAACCCAACTTTACTGAACCTTCTCCCAAGTTTCTCAAACCACACGATCACGATACAAACAACATAATCAGAACCTTCTTTCTTCTCTATATATATGCCCACAACACTCACGCCTCATACAGCAAATCTCCCACACGTACTCTAAGCAAAGAAACAAGTTGAGATCTTCTCATATCAGCTCACTCTCTTGTTGGTTTATGATACAATGGGTCGATTTGTGCTGGCTTGCTTTTTCTTGGCTCAAATCTTGCTGGTCCAAGCAATGGCTATCAGATCCGACGGTTCTGAGCTTAACCCACCAACTGTGGTGGTCCGAACCAGCGACAAGTCACACCCTGCGGCTTTTGATCGTGCCATAGCAGATCCACCATCGAGTAGTGAGTCGGCATCGGAGGGAGAGGCACAAGCGCCGGAGATCAGACGGCTGGGAAAGCATCACTCGCCTGATAAGTCGGTGGCTGGTGGTGGGGTCATCATTGGTGGACTCGTCACCGCCATTTTCGCCGCTGTTTACTGCTACATACGTGTCACCAGAAGAAAAGACGGAGAGGAGAAGCACTGAGAAAAGATCTGTGTTTTGGGTGGTGACTCTGCTTTGAGTTTTGACCCGAACATGAAAGCGAGTGTGGTAGTATGTAATGTTGAAAGGAAATCTGTGAATAATAGATTAGAATCATACACTTAAAAATCTTAATTAGTTTGTTCATGTAAGGGTTAGGAAGTGTTTGTAAGGGAAATACGAATTGAGAAATCTTTGAAATTAGTTTCTATTTTAGATTGAAATTACTTGATTAATGCTCTTATTTCCTTTTTTTTTTGGTTACGTAAGATATCTGAGCCAGCTTACTTTTTTTTATTTATTAATGCTCTTATTTCTCTTGCCCATTATATATAAATATGTTTGTCTTCATATGGCATATGTTATACGCACAGTGCCGGGCTTGAGTAATGCTAGAAGTCAAAAGATCTATAATTTTTTTATCAAATATTTCAAATGTATCAAGATTTTTATCAGGGTTGGTTTGGCAAGGGCTTATTGGGTTTTTTTGACTCAATGAGTCATAAAAGACAGAATAGGTTCATAAGCCACAACAGACAAAACATCCCATCTAACTTCATAATCATTACACTCTTCTCTCACAAAAAAATTAAAAAAGTCAAAAAGTCAAAAGCTCTTCCCAAATTAAGTTTTTGAGCTCAGGCTCATATAGTTAAAAAAGTCAAAAAGTCAATTCACTTTCCAAACGGGCTCATATAGTTAAAAAAGTCAAAAAGTCAATTCACTTTCCAAACGGAGGCTCAAAGATTTATAAATTTTTTGAGATAATTTATAATTTGTATTTTCCTTTAAAATGTTACACATGATTATTTTATTTTATTTTATTTTTTTCTAGTTAAATATTCACATTGTAACTTATTGTTAAGAGTGGACTATTACAATTAAAATTATAAATATCAATTTCTTTATTTTTTTTTGATGTAAAGTGCAAGTTGTAAAATGTAATTTTGCCAAAGAGATTAACAAACATGAATGTTAATTATTTAACCATTGTAGATATTTTGACCCTTTTAATAGCCAATTATATATGTCTACAAGCATCGGTAGCCAAACTTTAAATCATGCTTTGTTCAATTCTGGATTGTTTCGTATCAAAACCAACTCCAAAGTATTACTCAACTAATCAAGGTCTGCATTTTGGAATTGGAATGGAATTGGAGTCCATGTGTGGACTTCATTTTCACGGTGAGTAGGTAATAGATTATGCAATAGTTTGTTTGTTTTGTTTTGTTTTGTTCCTTTTTTTTTTTTCTTTCTCTAATTTTATTCCTTAGATATCATAAGACTTACGTGTTGGTTTGAATTTGGTTTGAATTTAATATTATGATAGCTTTTTAGGAGTGCATCTTTAAAAGTTGAAAAATATTACTCCATCCGTCCCAAAATATTAGTCCCTTATTTCATTTTTCATTGTCCCAAAATATTAGTCCCTCTTTATAAATCAAGTACAAAAATAATGTAAATTTCCTATTTTGCCATTCTTTTAAATTAATAAACAATTTAAAAAGTACAGTTATGACATTGATATTCTCAAAAAATGTACTATTAAAAGGGTAATTTTGGAAAACCAATTTTTTTCAAATGCAATAAGTGTACTACCAAAAAAAGTTGAATTCCCCAAAAGGGACCAATATTTTGGGACGGATGGAGTAAAAAATTCAAATATTTTACAAAATATTTTATTAAATGTCTCGTATGAGTGTGAGATTCATATCATGTGAGTCCTATGTGGGCTCACAAGATAAAATATTTGATAAAATATTTGGAATAACTAGTATTACTCGAAATAAAAACAAGCAACCACTACAAGAAATTAGTGATTTAGAGACTAATATTTAGAGACTAATTAAATTTGGTCTCTAAAAGTCATCATTTAGGGACAAAAAAGAATTTAAAAAAAAAAGAGCCATACAAACCCTCCATATTACTTTTATGAGATGGATATATACTGTATTTGACCAGTTGATGATATGGTTAAGAACTGGGAACCAATATATTTGGTTACTAATGTGTGAAGATTTTTAGAGACCGTATTTGACCAGTTGATGATATAGTTAAGAACTGGAAACCAATATACATTACCAGAAAACAGGGTTTTTGAGTCGACAGCGTGCCGTCGCAAATAACATATTTGCCGACGCAAAAACTTTTTGCGACGGCAACTCAAGGGATGAAAATGGTGGGGTCGCAAAAGGTTTTTGAGTCGGCAATCTGCTGACGCAAAAAGTTTTAATTTTTTGAGACGGTAGATTGCCGACTCAAAAAGTGGTTAAATGTTTTAAAAAATTTAACCCATAATTATCTCATTGAGGCTCCCAAGTTTCAAACCCACTCCATTTAAAAGATTTGACCTGAAGTCACCACACTAAGTCCACTTCACCACTATACCTCTTTCAAATTTTAAATGAGATATATATTATTTATAGTATATACACTCAATATTAATATAAAAGTATATATATTAATAAATATATTTATTAAATATAATCAAGTAAATATATATATATATATATATCTTGGCTATAAATTTTATTTTTTTTTGCTACGGCATCAGTTGCCGACACAAAAAGGTATATTTTTTTGCGTCGGCACAAATTTGCCGACGCAAAAGGTCTATGCCGACTCAAAAGGTCTAATTTTTTGCGTCGGCACAAATTTACCGACGCAAAAGGTCTATGCCGACTCAAAAGGTCTATCTTTTGCGTCGATAAATTCAACCGACTCAAGTAATGCTATCAAATATTAATTTTTTGTGTCGGCCAACGGTGCCGACGCTAAAGTTTTGGTATTTGCATCGGTAACTCTGTGCCGTCTCAAAAAGACTAACTTTTGCGACGGCAAAATTTGCCGTCTCAAAAAAACCAACTCAAAAGGCCCTTTATTTAGTAATGGTCCTTCTCGATCTTCTGATATGCCTTTGGTTACGTTATTTTACAAAACGTGTAAGAAACTAGCAAGAGTTCTCTCTGGTTTGGCAATCGAAGGAAGACCTTTTTGGTCGTACAATCAATAGAGACACAGTTATCAACTAGCCAATTCATTCATAAGATTACATCAAAACTATTGATGTGGAGTGGAATCAAATTCGCATATGAAATTTCACCTTTTAGGGATATAGCATAGGACTTATAGACATCAGTACAAAGTGCAGAACCACCAGACAGAAAAGACACAGGTAAAGCATGTCTTAAGGACTCAGGAGTAGGTGTTAAATTGGGAGTAAAGTGTGGAGTAACAAAAGAATTAGTTGATCCAAAATCAATGAGAATATAAGTTGAATGTCCATATATAGAAAGTATACTTGACACAACGTTTTCTATAACATCAGGGTTTCTAGGCACCAAAGCAAAAACTCTCCCTTGATATTTGTATTCTTTCTTTTCTATTCTGGTTTTTTGGACTGATCCAGGGGTACTTGTCAAGCTTGGACAATCTCTCACCACATGACCAATCTAACCATATTTGAAACATGCTCCCGTCACCAGATGACACTATTCTTGATGAGCATTATCACAAGTTAGACAGTTAGGGATGGTGTTATCTTTGGTGATAGTAGCGCCTTGCTTGGCTGAACTAGTTGAGCCACTAGGTCCCGTATTCGTTCTTTTTGATGGGGCAAAATTGAATCCTCTAGCTGGTTCTCCTCAAAATTGTTTCTTTTGACCCATGCTACCAAAACGTGAGATTTTGACTCATTTCTCCATGATGTATACTCGATCTACCACCTCCGCATAAGTTGGTAATTTTAAAACCTCGATCTTTCCTTTGATTTCTTCATCTAAGCCTTCTTTGAATTTCCTCGCCTTCTGGGCCTCTATTAAAATAACATACGTTGCAAATCGTGCCAACCATGTGAACTTGCTTTCTTACTCGGCTACTGACATTGTTCCTTGCTTTAAGTGTAAGAATTTTGACGCCTTTTGCTCTCGTAGTGAGTCTAGAAAATATTTTTCATAGAAGACTTCTAGAAATCTTGCCCAAGTCGTAATCTCTTTTCCTTCCAGGTTAAGAAGCCACCACTCTTTGGCATCTTCTTTAAGGGTGAAGGTGGCGAAAGACATCTTCTGCGCTTCAGTACAGGGCAGGGCATGGAAAATTTTTTCCATGTCTCTAACCTAAGCTTTTGCCTACAATGGGTTTTAATCCCTTACGAATGTCATAGGTTTCAGGCCTTGGAATTACTTTATTGTACTAGGTCCACTACTAAAAAGCAGGGTTTTTGAGTCAGCAACGTGCCGTCGCAAATAGCATATTTGTCGACGCAAAAGGTTTTTGCGACGGCGCTTCGACGACAACTCGAGGGATGAAAATGGTGGGGTCACAAAAGGTTTTTGAGTCGGCAAGTTGTCGACGCAAAAAGTTTCAAATTTTTGAGACGGTAAGTTGTCAACGCAAAAAGTGGTTAAATGTTTTAAAAAATCTAACCCATGATTTTCTCATTGAGGCTCCCAAGTTTCGAACCCACTCCATTTGGAAGACTTGAATCGAAGTCACCACACTGAGTCCACTTCACCACTATACCTCTTTCTAATTTTAAATGAGATATATATTATTTATAGTATATACACTCAATATTAATATAAAAGTATATGTATAAATAAATATATTTATTAAATATAATCAAGTAAATATATATATTGAGGAACATCTCGTCACTCGGAAGTACGAAAATGTACATAACTCGGTTTCCCGTGCCCGGCGCTAACTTCCTATTCCGGACACGATGCAATATTGCATGACATGCACGAAATGCAACTAAGATACATCCTAACGTTTACACAATGCTATGAAAGAGATGCCTCAAATGCGTGCACGCGGGCACGCAAAACGAGAAAATGCAGAATGCTATGAAAAGAAATGCTCGGGAGTGCGCAAACACGGGCACACAACTGAGAAATGATATGTGTCTCGAAGTACGTGACACGGGCACGCAAACCGATGCGATGATAAGTTATCCTCGAAGTACGTGCACGCGGGCACGCAAACTGAGAAAATGAATATGTGTCTCGAAGTACGTGTTACGCGGGCACGCAAAACCGAGGCGATGATATGTGTCTCGAGTACGTGCACGACGGGCACGCCCAAACTGAGGTGATGATATGTGTCTTGCAAGACGGGCACGCGAGCACGCAACGAGGCGATTGGAGATGGTCTCGAAATACGTGCACACGGGCACGCAAACCGAAGTGAGGATATGTGTCCGAAGTACGTGCACACGGGCACCGAAACCGAGGCG